CCCCCCGCCCCCCCGCAGGGCCCCCTGCTGCTGGAAGCCACCAGGCCTCCATGGCAGTGTCACTGGCCGCTGTGGGGTCACTTCTTCCTTCTCCTGAGAGGAACTGAGCAGCCACGGCCCATGAGAGCAGGGCCTGCCTGACCCCCCGCCTCAGGCACAGCAGTGAACGAGCTCAGACAACCCGAAAGGGGCTTAAAAACATGCACTCGGACACACCAGCCCCAGGCAGTTGGGGCTGCGCTGCCTGGGAGAGACTGAAAATACCCCTCGCAGCTGTCCCAGGAGGGACAACTTCAGGCAGTCAAAGCACAAAGCAGGGGAAGCAGAGCTTTGCCATCAAGGTTAGAGAGGAGAAAAGCGGAAAGGGTGGCTGTGAGAGGCGAGGACAGCACAAGCAATGCTACTGCAGCAGCTGCACCCCAGCCGGTGCTGAGTGAAGGCAAGTCAGGAGCAACACGGGATCAAAGCTGGGCAAAGGGGAGTGGTGGAAGGGCCCTGGGGAGCAGCGGCAGCAGGAGACGGGGCGGGGGGGGCTGCAGGCTTCCCTGCAACAGGTCACAGCAGCCCGCTGGTCACGCAGGAGCTGCCAGGGGAGAACCGAGGGGGCGCGCTCAGAGCCCCGTCATCCTCTGCCACACCATCCCGCGCCGCGACCGCTTCACCGGGGACAGCCAGCCCCGGCACAACACCCTCCTTCGCCCCTTGGGAACGCTGCTGCGAGGCAGCCGGCGCGGGCCTTACCCTGCTTCACCTGCACGTGGCCCCCCGCTTTGGTGAGCGCGATCTTGCTGTTGTCAATGGGGCCGGGAGGCTCTGGAAGAGGAGAACAAGCCCGTCCCAAAACCGTTCCGCTTTCCACGTTGCCACCAGATTCAGCTCCTTTCCTGCACTGGCTCTCTGGGGTTTTCTGCCCTCCCCTGGGGACCTGGTGTCTGAACCCCCACCAGCCTCAAGTCGTACCGCTCAGGCGCGGCGCTCACCCAGACCTGGCAAACAGGTTTCCATTCTCCCTCTCACCCCTGACAGACTCCGGAGGTCTCCCTCTTCTTACCGTTATCCTTCCCCTTGACAAAAGCTTCCCACTCCCGGAACCACTGCATGCTGATACAGTAGATGACACTTGGAGACTCCTCCGCCTGGAAAGCCTTGTTCAGCTGGGAGAGCGGAGAACAGAGACACGCAGGAAGGATTTAGTCACTCCCGAGATCCAGGGGGGCCCTTCCATTAACTGCAAGGCAGCCCTGCCGTCCTGCAGAACCACCCCACGGTAATTCCACCCCCTTCCTCACCACCTGGACCTGCTCACTACAGCGGGCAACGGACTCGGGCGGTTTCCAACTTCGTGTCTGCACGCAGCCGCACGGCGTGACCGTGTTCCAGCTGCCCGTCCCCGCGCTGCCAGCACCGGGGAACCCCAAGATCAGTCTCCTGGCCGTGCTGTAGATCACGGGGCAAGAGTCTTCCACTAACTCTCTGTGACAGGTCTCCACTTCCCACCTCTGCCCATTGCTTCCAGGTGCTTCCCACACGAACCTTGATGAAGGTGTCGATTTCAACCCGCCTGCGTTTGGCCAGCGCTTCAATCTCCACTTGGCAAATGGAGCACACGTACAGGTGGTTCACAGCAGGGCCGCCCCCGAACCTGAGCAGGGGCAGAGAGGGAAGGGAATGGAGAACTGCAAGAGAATGGAAACGCTTCCCAGCCCTGCACCCTACAGAGCCGGTGAAGGAGGGGCACCCGCAGCTGACTGGAGGGTGCTGCCTTCCCTCAGCACCGCGAGGGTCACAGTATCGCTCTGGGACTGCGCGCTGATACAGCTCACTCTGGCTTAGGTTAGGAAGCTCTACCAACTACCAGTCTCTGTCAGTCCACAGGTGCCTTTAAGGTGCCCTGGGAAGGCGTTACCTCTTCGTCACGGTCCGAGGTGTGAAACAAAAAAACCCCAAAACTCATTGGGAGAAAGAACGAAACGGCCATATTCACCTGTTGTAGAGATATTCCCACACGTTTTGGGGCAGAATCACAACCAGGTCATCAATGTAGTGGTATTTATTAGGAGGAATCCCTGCGGAGGAAAGGCAAGAGGCAGAGTTAACCAGGGAACTCATCATTGCTGAGTAAAGACACAAACAAAACAGGGCAGGTCTTCCTTGCTGAAAACCGGTTCCAGAAGCTGCTTCCTCTGCGGAATGGAAGACAGTCGAGAGTTCGTTAACTGTGGAGGTTTCTCAATTCATGGCCTCAGTTTCTAATCAAGTGCTTCATTTCCAGTTGGAGATGTATAAGCACGAGGGCTCCCCAGCGTGACAGATGAAGGAGCAGAACAGCAGAAGGTGGTATCAGCTCCCTTCAGTAGCATGTGCTCCATTCTCCAAACAAACACCCAAGGCCAACCTTGCCGAGAGGGTAACGCAGATAAATGCTGTCTTACCTGCCTTCTACAGGTCGGTTTCTAAAAACACAGATCTGAAAACTGTTGTTTCCCAGCACTACACATCCCTCGGGGCCGCTGAGCAGCAGGACAACGGGGTGACTGTCTCATCCCTACCCTGAGCGGGCTGGAGTTCCTGCCCAAGCAGCAGATCCTACTGCAGCGGCCGCTGTTTCTGGGCGACAGCTGGAGCTTTTCCCCTGCGCTGGTTAAAGCACAAAAGGTAGAGCGCAGAGCTGCCCTCCCCCGGCCCAGCAGCTCCCTTACCTCCGTGAGAGCACAGAAAGGTGTGGTTGGTGATGGGGCCAGGCTCAGCAAAGGTGTTGAACTTATTGAGCCACTCTCGAGAGATGTAGAACTGGAGTAAACTGTGCTCCTTCATGCTGGCAAGGGACACAACTTTCTGACGCTCCCGCACAGCTTCTTCACTGCTTTTCCTTCAGCAGGGAAAAGAAAATTCAGCAATTCCTGAAAACTTTTAAGCCTGCAAAACGCATTTCTAGGTATTCTGCGACCAGCAGGGGCCTGCTGCACCCAGGGCACGGCTCACCTGTAGAACAGGACGTAAGCTTCTGCGTTCTGTACCACCGTCTCGTGGACTTCAGTGACATACTGGTCGTCAAACTCGTACCACTGGCCGTTGATCACGTTCTGGCAGTAGGCTATGTAATGCCCGCCTGGAACAGGGAAAACAGGACGCTGCTGGGATTCGGAGTGCAGACAGAAGTCAGGCCTGGGATAAGGTCAGCAGCACAAACAGGATTTGCTGCTGGCAGAGGACAGAGAGAGCCCCACCCCCCAAAAAAAGGGCACAATTCCTGTTTCAGGAAGCTTTGCAGGAGGAGGGGAGCCTGGCATTGTCACCCTGATTTGCCTTCCTTGGAAAGGGCGTCTCGGTGAACGTCAGGAAAGGGTTTGAGCCAACCCAGTGGTGAGGCTGAAACAGCCGCAGGGGGGTCTGTCAGAAGCTGCTCCGTTCATTTTTCCAAGGGCAGAGGCTGAGCAAGCCTGGGAATGGAGGGGGCAGGCCTTCCGCTGCACCTCACCCCAGAAGAGGTGCTGACTAGTCCTGGAACGGGCTCCTGCTTTGCTCCCTCTCCTCTCGATCCTGTTCACCTCTGCCCGTTCTCACAGGACTTACTGCCTGCTGTGCCATGGTGACAGATGACTGACAGGAGATCGTAGGTGGTGATCTGGGAGACGCACTCCTTGGCTAGGAAAGGTCGCAGATCCAGCCCTTCCAAGGGGAAGGAGACGTGACTGTTGATCTTGAAGGAATACATCACCTCGTGCCGAAACCGCTTCAAGTGGATGCAAAGGATCTAAAAGACCAAGGACAGAGAAGGCCAAAGCGCAGTTTTGCCGTGGGTATTCTGATAAAACAGCACATCTCTGCGCGTCTCATCTTTGCCAGGATTCTTCGCCTGTTAGTCATGAACGCTGCTGGCCTATCAGCCTAGAATGGGGAAGTCTCTTCTGGTCTAGATACGGGACTTTGCCACCAAAACCAACTGCTATTTCTGTTCTACCTCTAGCCCCCTCAGCTCCTCAGTGGCTGCTAAAGAAAACGAGGAAACAAGGTGCTTTTACTCACCTCTGGCAGCCGGAGGACTTTGCAGTACTTTACTCCATTGCGCAGTCTGAGGGAGAAAAAGAAAGCAGCTGTGAGGAATCGCTAAAGCAAAGGGGTGCCAAAAGGCAAGGCTGGGTCTTGCTCGACTTTGAAATCCAAGACAAATCCTGAATGCGAGCAGCAACAAATGCAGGCTCTTTGCAGCATCCTCCCCAAATGAAGGATGGCACGAGCAGCTTGTCATGCCTCTTCTTTCTAACACAATAGTTCCACTACTGCCAAGCCACATCCCTGTTCACCTCCTTCGTCCTTTCCACCCCCCCGTAGCCAGCACTTTTCCCATCTGCGCTCAGTGACCTCTCCAGACCAGAACTCTAATGTAAGGCAAGGCAGATTTTAAATGCCACTCAGCAGAACAAACGTCCAGGCAGAGGGCACAGCAAAATGTCTGACAGCGGTACAGAGAAAGAAAGTTCCAGAAATACAATGCAGGTAATGCAAACTTACTTTTTACACCGTTCACAACTGTACATGTTGTCCCCTGTAGATGAAGAGAAGAGAGCCATTACGCAGTTACTCAGAGCACACAACACTGCTATGGCTGCATTTCCACCCAGTGCAGAGGAACCGTGTTAAGCCACCTCCTGGGGAGGCCAACCAACACTTCTGCCAGCGGAGGCAAGACGAGAACGCAGTCAGCCAGCAGAGAAACTGCTGAGCCACACACGCGAATACAGCAAATTGTCTGAGCCCTCTAGAGCTTAAGGGGTCGATGGAGAAAGCAAAGAAACTAAGGAGCCACAGCGCTCACAACCAACCAGCAGCTATGTCTGCTCCTCGCTCAAGATGCTCTCGCCCAGGTTCAGCATGAAAAAGCAGCACCCCCGAGCACGGGGGAGAACTCCCTTCTGCTCAGAGATGCTCAACTGGGTTTGGTACCACCAGTCTCTACGTGAAACGCTGAGGCAGGCTTTCCAGGGGATTTAATCCGCCTCCAACACGCATGTGACACACTCCTCCATGAGGCCGTTTCATGCTGTCAGACCCCAACGAAGAAAACTCACCTTTCAACTCATCCGCTGCAAAAAAGGCAGCAAGACAATCCTCCAGCGTCACAACAGGACCCCAAAACCAGCTAGGGATACAGGACACCACAAATCTGCAGAAGAGAGGGGATTAAGAGAAAGAGTTATACACAAAATAGCTGGACCCTTTGGCATACAAAAGCCCCAATGGGTGATGGGTTTCCTTCCAGCTGTAGGTCCTAAACTCATCACACAGCCCAGAGGGGCGGGGAATGCATGATTCCAGTCAGCTGGTGTTCCTAGTTGTGATGGCTTAAGCTGGAAATGATTTGGAAAACTAGGAATGATTTGGAAAGCTAGGAGTGAATTTGGTCTGGAGGGCAAGAGTGAGCTAAAGGCAGAAGTGAGGGATTATCAGCTGCACAAGAGATCTCAAGGTGTCTGACAGAACCAGAGGAACAGCAGCAACTGGTTGACATGAAAAGGCTCAAAGACCTGTGAGGAACCACATACTGTTGTCCAAGGAATGGTTACAATCGGCATCCCGCCGTAAACACCACCGGCTAGGGATAGCTGCCTTCCAGCATGGTGGGGCAAACCCCAGAGAAAAGGGGTCCTGCCCAGGGAACACACCTCCGGATATACTCCATGATGAAAGCAATCCAGCCTTGGGAGGCATAGTTGTCCCCACAGGCCCCCGTCTTAGCTGGCACGTTTTGGTAGATGGCAGAGTGCAGCTTGGCCAAGTCCTCCTTCCCTGGGATTGGGAGTGACAGGTCCTGGAATGTCTCCACCGTCGTAGAAACCTGGAAATACCCAAGAGGAAGAGGTCTGGGTTTCCTGTGCATGTAACGGAGCTGGGACCTGACCTTCAATGTGTTTTATCACTGCTTGGGTTTTGTCTAGGCTAGAAACCTGAGCTGGCAGTCAGAGCAACTCGCTCTGGCTAATTATTCCTCACTGCTGTCAGCAGGATGACTTTTGTGATGGTTTTGGTAGCACTGGCACCGGTTTTCCCATGTGAATGGGCTATTCCTAGGCAAACTCAGTAACACGGACAAGCAAACAGACCCCTACAGAGAAACAGGACTTCTTGGCACGGCGGGTTTCTCCCACCTCTCCCACCACCACCTATGGTCATTTCAGCAGGCTCGCTGCTTCCCCCAGTGTTTGGGAATAGGAGCACCATATCCTAGGGAGAGATCTACAAGGCAGAAGACTGTGCTCTTTGACCGACAGCCACCAGCCGACTCACTCTGTCGCAGGTGAGGCACTGCACCAGGCTGAGGATGGAGCCGTCGAAGATGTCCGAAATCACACTGCGATAACGAAGTTCTTTCTTCTTTTTCCCGGAAGCCTGCATCTGGGCTGAAAGAGACAAGGGAGGTCCATCATGCAGCTACTCTCTCCCAGCCTCCCACCTCAGCGGAGTCATGCAGCCACACAAGAGGAAACACAGGACAAGTGCTGTCCTGCACGTGCAGATGCCACTCGCGTGGCAGTGAGACAGCGCAGCCCGTTGTAAACCGACGTGAACGCTGCTGCTGCGGGCGGTACAAGAAAGGGGGAGGCAGCCAACTGAACCAACACAGCCACGCCAGCTCCCAGCAGGCAGAAACTATCTTACTGGAAATCCTGCTCCATCCTCTTACCACATGTTTAGAAGCCTGGCCCTGCCAGAGGGGCCCTGCTTTTCTGAGGTCTTGCAACATTTTGCTCCGAGCTTTACACTTCACTTCGTCTCCCCCCTCACCTGCCTGGGTACTTTGTCCTGGCTTTTTTTTGATCCCTCTGACATTTACCATGTGTCCCCCGGGGTGCCTTGCACTGGAGAGGACTGGCCAAACACGCAGTTTTATGGAATAACAAACCCTCTTCCCCCCACACACGTGCACGGGGACAGAGTGCTTTTTGTCCGGCCAGAACATCTGTGGCTGTGCTGACCTCAGCCAAGGAGCTGGGACGCAGTTGAGGAAAGAACGCCGTTACTGAACAGCTGTAGGGACAGTGGGGTGAGCACATGCCATTGTGTTTGCAGGCTATGCAACGCTGAGGGATTTCGATGTGTGATTTGCTTGGGATGAAGAGACCAGTCTGAGAACAACAGAAGCCAGGCTCCACTCTGAAGCCTAACAATGCTCCCAGCACCGGACTGACATCTGCAGCCCTAATGCTGTTATTGTGAGCCCGAGATGTCCCGGAGGCAGGAAGCTCTCTCTTGGTAACATCATCTTAGTTCTCTGGCCCCCGTGCTATGAAATTCAAGTCTGGCAGCCAAATGTTTACACATCTCCACGCTCCCCTAAAGGGACAGAGCTTGTGCCCGGGACTTCATAGCCATTTTATTAATAACAAACACATCATGCAGATGCAGACATGGAAATCATTTTGGGCTCCGATGTAAGAGCACACTAGAGCATCTGCTGTGCCCAGACCTTGACTTTACCTGCAGGTTTACTGTCGTCTTTGCCTGGTACTATTTTAGAAAGCACTGACGTCCAGGGGAATCAGCATTTCCTACAACTGTTAATCAGGAATCACGATGGATTCCTCCTCTCTTCTGTAAGCGAGCCTCTCCTCCTCTCCATGCTCCCTCCTCTGCCTCCCAGCATACATTCTTTGCCCTACCTTTCTTGAGTACGTAGGAAGGTCCAAGCCTGGCAGGACTGGAGCGAGGAGGACTGCTAGAGAGCTTGGAGTGCATTTCATGATGGACTGGACTGCAGGGGCGTGAGGAGCAGCGCACGTAGGCGTCATTGTCAGGTTCTGTTTGGGAAAATGAGGAGGGAGAAGAGCACCGGTGAACACCCCAGCTATGAAAGGCAATCCTACTGCAGTCAGTGCCAGCCCAGCTCTGCACTCCAGCACAGTCTCTTTCCCAGTATGCACAGTTCAGTGTCCATTAACCATCCCGCTTGCACAGGTTGGCAAATACAGCTCCCTCAGTGCATGGATAAGAGTGCATACAGAGCTATACTGAACAGCTAATAACTACATATAAAAAAAAACCCTGCCATTTTTTCACACTTATGACTAATTAGGTTTTACAGCTTGCTCCTGTATCCCTAATCCACACAAACAGCATGGCTGTCTTCAGTGCCAGTTGGCAGAGTGAGGCTCTTATATAAAGAAGTGTTGAAAGATTGGATATGTTCAGTTTGAGGTGACTCCACACCTACGTCTTAACTGCTGCTCATTTCTTTTCCCCAAGACACAGAAATGCACAAACTGTGCCTCCCCCTTTTCTCTCCACAAAGCTCACGGTCCAACCGTAACAGACACCTTCTTCCCTGCCTCTTCCACAGCGAGGATTTCCCCAGGCCAGCCTATCAGATACAGCAACGTACACATACAAAACCTTTTTCTTAAATTAGGAAAAGGCATAACTACAGTGTCTGCAGGTGTGGCAGAGGCAGCTATTGCTGCCCTCAGGATGCAGTCTTTCCTCCATAGCACCTTAGCCTGCCTAAGCACCTCTGTGGCCCACATACCACATGTCCTTACAGCAGCAATTGCGCACAGAGGCAGAACCACTGCCAGGGACACCGAGGAAAATCTCGGATGCAAGATCTCTTGAAACCCGCAGAAGGAACAGTCACATTATGTGGGGTTTGCCACTGCGCTGCCACACCGCCCCTGTGCAGGATGAGACCACGTCTGCTCGCAAATCACACGACTGGAAGAGGTGTATACCTGGTGTCCTACAAGGGCTGGCAGAGCGGGGAGCTGGCAGCATCTCAGGTGAGGCTCTGCCATCAACTGGCATCAGAGTCGTATCAACATCTGCATCCTCATCCACCTGCTCCGAGTTGCTGCGCCGATGGCCACAGGAGAACTTTCTGTCCTTCATCCTCTCTTTCTCAGAGATCCCTCTCCCTGCTTCGTCCTGGATCAACAGCTCTGTCTCTGCCAGGGAGCTGCTGCCCATGCCCCCTGTGGTCCGACTTTGCCCATCCCCTTCCCCCCTGTCACTGCTGGAGTCGCAGGAGAGGAACTCATCCTCCGAAGGACTTCGGTCACCCTCTCGCTTGTCATCCTGGTCACTGGTATCCAAATCCCTCGTCTCTGCAACAACTGGTTCCTTCAGTTCTTCATGAAGCTGATCCATCAGGCACCGCAGGAATTCCTGCGTGTCCTGAAAGCCAGGAGTAATTCCACGTTAGTACCCATCCCGAAATGGGGCAAATGAGGGGGGGGGAAAGAGGAGGGGGCTCCATTCACAGCCTCTTTCAGTGCTGCCCACAAAGCTCAGCCACCTCTGCAAGACAGAGAGTGCCGTGGCGATGTACCAAGAAGCCTGTCTGCCACGTAAATGTTTTTAACTCCTAAATGATAAAAGGCTCAATTTTTATCTGAACATCTTCAGCCGAAAGCCAGCGAAAAGCCAGCGAGCAGCCGCAGCACGCAAACCATGAGCTTATTTATCAGGGGGTTACCACTGATAAGAGGCAAGAGACAAGGAGAAACCTAATGAAGGCAGCAGGCTGTGGGGAACAGACAAACAGATTCCATGAACACTGACTTCTGCTCCTGGCAAGCCCTCTCTTAGAGAAAGCAGATTAAAATTTTTAATAAATAGGGAATGGAACCAAAAACCAAAGACTATACAGTCGAGGTGCAAGCTCCTACATTCATAATGCATGGTAAAAAAGCTGATAGGTTGGCTTCAAAGGACCTGCTGGAAAGCGACTTGGTATTTTGACAACTCCAGAAAGCTAATTATGATGTTTCTGTTATTTTAGGGAAGTCTGGCTTTTAGCCTGTCCCGTCTTCCTTTCAACTTTACCTCTTTGCAGCTGAGAGTTTTCCAATCCAACGTACTTCATATCAAAAATAAATATAGAAGTTCTTTCATTACTCATTATTTTTATGCTGTGTTTTGATTTCCTGTCAGTAACACAGTTAGATGTACTGTCACTTCTCTTGTAAATTTTCTAATCATAGTTTGATGTTTACGTTTTATTCTAATGAATAAACACAAGAGATACGCTGATAAAAACTTCAAAGAAAAAAAAAAGATACTATCTTTAAATAAGATTGAGTTTGCTGTAATTTCCCAGAAAAAGAACATAAAACATTCATATTTTTAACTTTTTAGTATGGATTTATCCAGGTTTCTCAGCTCTGACGTGAATATATAATACCTAACGCTCATACAGCACGTATCCATAGATCTCAAAGCCCTTTATAAAGGAGGTGACCATCACAATTTCAGAGGTGAGAAAGCTGACACAGGAAAACGCACTGATTTGGTACCAGCAAGCCTGGAAGAGAACCCAGGTCTCCTAAATCCCACCCAAGTGCTCTATCAGATCAATAATACTGACACGAAAGGGGAATGACCCGGGAGCTCAAGCTCTGCCTTCTGAACACAAGCACCAACCGCTGCAGAAAGAAAAATCCCACCCTCTTTGGAACAATGGCACGTGTTTGTGGAGGCCCCACCTGCTGTGCGTAGCCTCGGAACATGGGGTTGACGAGCTTAATTCCGTGGGACAGACTGCTGGGAACAACATAGCTTGGGCTGTTTAGATATGGAAAAAAAAAACCAACAAAAACAAAAGAGAGGTTAGTTTGCTTATCAGGCCTGGAGCCAGTTTGTCTTGTTAAGGCACAGAACAGGGTGTGGCAACTAGTTAAAGAGGACAAAAGATAATTAGGCACCTGCAAAGCCCGGGCATATATTTCTCTATTAGCTGGATGACATACAAATGAAGAGACAGAAAACTCAGTCTCTCAGTCATTTCAGTCCGTCCTTCCAGAGAGAGACTCTTCCCTAGAGCACGTGCAATTTAAAGCTCTGTCCACGCTTCGAATTGTCACAGAATCACAGAATGTCAGGGGTTGGAAGGGACCTCGAAAGATCATCTAGTCCAACCCCCCTGCCAGAGCAGGACCACCGAGAGCAGGTCACACGGGATGAGACAGAATTGGCTCCAGTGGTTCTTTCCAGAGCAGGGTTTTGCAGTCAGTTACTTGGTTTGATTTTGCAGCACCATGTCTGTCTCAAAATCTGGGTGGGCTGCCCACCCAGCAAATGAGGTAAATCAAACCTGATATTAAACCAACATATTATACTGCTTCAAAGCCTACGGCCTTCTCTTCCAAAAAGCCACAGTTCACTTTTGCTCTGTATCATACATATCCCCTGGTAACAACTAACCTGAAACAAACGGGCAATGCCATCTAAATTCCCGGGCTGATTTTTTTCCAGTTGATTGCACAGAGCAGACATGGTCAGATTTAAACAGAGCTGCATTATTCTACACCGACCCTTGAACTGGTCTAAAATTGCGAACATTTCCCAAAACGTCACCTGCATTTTCCACTCTCTTCCGTAAAAATCTCTGTATTGCTTTTTCCACCCAAATCATCGATCCCTCTGCTCATCTAGAGCCGTGCAGTTAAGTGCTGGTTAGCCCATGCACCACACTCAGAAATGGCCACGAGTATTCCCTTACTCTATCATTTTTTCTCCATTGCCAGCAGGGAAGCTCTACAAAAAAAATAATCTCTTCCTGTTTGAAGTTGTAACATTCAGAATGTATTCTTTTCGCTGACATCAATATGCCCATTTTATCACCAGTAGCAGGATACGGGATCTCCGAGAGAGAGGGAACCCCTGCAAACCCATCTACGCAGGGTTTGAGCCGACTGCCTTAGGCAACGCACTTCTCCCTGAAGATCAAATTTCCTCTTTGCTGATGCCAGACTTCAGACCCAACGTAACTACGAAACCCGCCCAGATCAGATTAGGGAGTGACCACTCACCGTTTCTTATGCCAAACCTCAGACACCAACTTCTGGTAGCTTTTGCACAGCGCTGGTTTCTTGTCTGTACGGACCAGTCCGCCACATTCCAGAAAAAACTGGGTGAGAGGTGGGCTACAAGAAACAAAAAGAATTCAGTGCACAGAAATTTCTCCTCTGCTGCTGTTTAAGGGTTTATCAAAACTCGAATGCATGTCTTGTTGAAACATGCTGAAACACTGGTTTTTACATCGCGGGAGGAAGTGATTCCAAATGCCGACTTGATTCCTAACTCGAAACAAATGAAAAGGGCTGATCTGAATCTGTTCCCAGCCCGGAGAAGAGATCCTGGAATTCGTTCTCGGAATGGCTAGCACATATTTTACGATACGGGTTGTCAGAAAGAGTGAAGGGATGGGACACGCCTTCCCATGCGATAGATACATTTCTGTCACAATAGAAATGACGACGTTTTAGCTCAAGCACTCACCTAACCACGAGTCTTGTACGTAGCCACAAGTTGGCTATTCCCTCAGTTCCCTACTGTAAAACTTCTGTTGCCCAAAACAAACACTACATGGGTCTGCACCTAGCCTGGCTGACGCCTCTTTGCAAGGCTCACGACGGTCTCAGCTCAGAGGCGCCACTTTTGATATTTAGTGAAGTCTAGCAAAGACTCTACTGAAAGGCCCAAATGCCTACCAGTTAGAGAGAGCCTGAAGTGCTGCATTCATGTAGCAGGAGTTCCCAAGATTTTTCATTCCAGTAAGGCCTAAAGCACAAACAAGAGAGGCATGAAACACTTTCTAGACGTGCTGCTTTCTACGTTCCTCCCCAAAGGAGAGGCAGTCTCCACCCTCGGCTCCTAGGAACCTCTCAGTGCAGGTCCTACAGACTGCAGAGCTACCTCACAGCCCTTTCATCAACTCGACGCAGTTACCTCTTGGTTTCAAATCATCATCCTCTGATTCAGATTCGCCTTCATCAGCCACTGCAATCGGAACAGCTTTCAGAGGGTGAGCAGGCAATGGAGAATCCTAGATTAAAGACAGAGAAACAAGCATCAGTGAGGGGCCTGCTTTGAAAGACGAGTTGTGAGAGAGATTATCTTACACAGAAATTGAGCCAGCCTTTTAAACAGCACTCTGGAGAGAGAAGAACCAGTCGCACTGTCTTCCCGTCTCACTAATGCAAGGAGCGAGTGGAAATAGTCCCATTACTGCTTCCAGTACACGTGATAAGAGAGGCACCAGGAGCACGCAGCAGTGTCACAAGGACACGTGCTTCTGGCCTGACAGCTAAAACTTCCAGGGGCCGTGCACTGAAAATGAAGATGTGACAGCCATTGTGGTTCCTCCCAGAAACAGAAGCCCCACGAAACGGGCTAGGAAAGGTTAAAAATAAAGTCAGAATGGACATTCAGATCATCTGGAAGTCTTCTTGCTGGGAGATCCTGGTCCTCTGGCTACAGGTAGCCACTTTCAACGAAGGAGTTCCTATCACAGCAGAAGCCTGGACAACAGCAGGAACGGCTTGGCTAACTTTGCGACGGGTAAACAAAAGCCCTGCCAAGCGTTCGACCCTGCCCCGTCGTGACGCAGACCCACCGGTTCAGTGAACTTCGCTGGCGGTGACTGCGTGTGCGTGGCCAGCCGCTGGTCCAAGAACACCTCCTTTTCACAGGCGTAACACCAGACGCGGAAGGTGGTCAGGTTCACCGTCAGGTTGTGCTTTTTGGCCTAAAATTTAGAAAGGTGAAATAACGACTCTCATTTGACAGCTGGCTCAAGTTGAAGCACTGGACTACGAGAAGAGGGTAGAGGAGGATTAGGTAAGGGGGAAAATCTAAGATGAACAACAGAGAAAAGCCCACCTGCGCGTGAAGTGTGCTGTGGTCAGCAAAGGACTCCCCACAACCAACATAAGGACAACCAATCTAGGGAGGGAAAAGAGCAAAAGCACAACGGGCACAAAAATTAGACCCTTCACAAACCAGTCTGCAATTCCAGTCCCACCAGCAGCTGCAACCTCAGAACTGACCTTGCCAGTTTTCTAACCTGCTTTTTACTCAGGGCCCAGAATAAGACGGGTAACTGGAATTGCCTGGTTTAAGAAAGAAAACCTGGAAGCGGGTTTGCACCCACGTAGAGGCTCCCTTCCAAGGCAACTGCTCCAGTGGGCAGCTCATCTGAGCAGTCTCCAAATGCCTGGGCATTCCAGCGTAAAAATAAACTGCCTGTCACTTCCATCTGCCTCGCCGCCTTGCGCAGCGTCTTCTGCAGTCTCAGGCTTGCAGCCTCCCCTCGCAGCTGCCCGCAAGGGCAGGACCCAGCCAACAGTCACTGCTGGGCGTTTTATTCATTCCCTTTGGGACTACCAGGGGGCAATCCCCTACGAGGAGTGAACTGTTACGTCTTGGCATGTTCTGACAGCGTCAGCCTTTAATCTAGGGAGATTCCTTGGAATCCATCACAAAATGATGGACAGTTCTACTGTGAACCCCCTCTCTGCTTTCTGCTCTTTTTTCTTTCCAGTACAATGCTTTGGTTTTTTAAAAAACCCCTTGTATTAAAGAGAAGTCCCACCATATCATGCACACAAATAGCAAGCCATTTTTACCTGCAGACAAGCCCAGAGATTTGGTCCCACAGCTCCACAAGACTGGCAAGTTCCCTGCATATTCATGATAAAAGAAGGTTTGTTTGCTTGTTTGGTTTTGAAGTAACCTAGTCCTTCAAGAGTGGGAAACTTCTCTAAATACCATGAGGCTGGTCTTGTAATTTCTTAACACTGCACTTCCAATTAAATATACACTTTGCAGCGTTTTAGCTAAGTGACACATTTGAGCAGGATAAAATGAGAGTGAGAAATAGATCAGGTGGGGTCGGCAAAGGCTTACTTTATGGGACACGTGCAGGGTACACCAGCGTTGGCAGAAGAGGTTCTGCCTCTCCTCTACAGAGACAGGCAGCATTTTCTTCGAAAAGCAAGCATGTAAACCCATGCACAATAGCTAAAAGGGAAAGAACTGTCAACCAGAACACCTTGTACCTTGGATTTGAGCAGCAGATCATCCCTGGTCACCTCTCCTATGGAATCCAGGTGAGGACAGATGTCTCTCGTATCCCCCATTTTCACCAACACTCACCTGCGGGGGACTGCTTTCCTAGGACAAGAAAGGATAGTTCCTTTCAGCTACACGTCAGATCTGCTCTCACAGATTGTAAGAAGATAAATTAGCACATTTTGAGTATTAGAGATTACGACATCCACCTTTAAGGTTCAGAGATCAAAACAAATCTAAACCTGGAGTCAGTCCTACTGGCTAGCACAGTCCTGACCCGTTGCTGAGCAGCTGCATTGTGGTATCACAGTAAGTGAGCGAGGCAATGGGGAGGAGAAGGAAACACACGAATAAAGCAAATAGCCCGTCCAACGTGTGTTCAGATTTCGGGGAGGTGCTCAGTACCCAGGCACAGCTTCAGCAGCACAGCTGCTGACTCGGTTTCAGGTATGGGGATGGATTTGCTGGAGCCTCAAAAGGAAAACAGCGGTACAGCCACCCACTGACCACCCTCTTCTGAAACTCCCAGACTGTCTGGATCATGTGGCATCTCCAAATGATGCAGAGTCGTACGGCAATAAATAAAAACTCCCATTAACTCCTGCAGGCTTTACATACATAACTGGTCTTGTAACACCACAAGTACTCCCCGAACCTGACCAGACTGCCAAGCTACGCCTTCACCCCTAGAAACTGGGTGTTCTGTGCTAGCTCAGCAGGCAGGGTGGGAAAACAAACGTGGTGATCTGAACTGACGTCCTCTTGCCAAACACACACACACGCCGCATGAAGAGATACCAATCTAATCAGCTTTTTTGTATGAAATTTAAATTAAAAGTGAAAGGGCGCTGCAGCCCAAGACACAAGAATGTCGCATGTGGTGTCTAGGGGCTTCACACTACCCATACTGTGCTGATCTGAATCTAACATTGAGTTATTATACTACTTTATCAAACATTAAAAATACGATTACTGCTGTAAATGGAGCTGGGCAAGGGGGAATTAGACTTAAATAATCTGTAACAGATAATCAGTCTTCAGTCTCTGAGGAATTTACCGTTTCATAGGTAGATTTTTAACCATACAAGCCACATAACTCTCAAGGACTGTACAAAATGTAACAACACTGTTCCACCCAGCTCATACATCCAAGCACCACAAGCACAGGGGATTTCATAGCTGCATGCTCACGAGCACAATAAACACTTTCATGGTGGTCCATGGGTACGTGAAAGACTTTAAACATCTCTCAGTAACATGCAACTATAAAAAGAGAGATGAGAAGAGTTTGTGTTTCTTAAGCGTAGCCTAGGTAACCTCACTTGTGGCTGCTAAAGAAAAAAGACAAGTGATACTAACAACACAGATCAGGATCCAAAGTATCACTATTGGCTGGAAATGAAGCAGATATGAAAAGCCCACATCACTAGAAAAAAAGAAGTGGAAAAATCTGATGAACCTGAAGTTAACGACTCCAGCAGCGTGGCTGCTAGACTCTGCTGTTTTCATGTTTTGAGGACATTTGAAAGAATTGCCAGTGTTATCTGGTGTGAATCACTGACAGTGAGAAGAGAAGAAAAGAAAAAAACACACCAAAAAAAAGATAAACAAAGAAGCCATATCAGCAACACTTATCTTGGGAGCTGAAAAGCTTGCCTAGCACCTTGCCTTGGCAGAAGATAAACCTCAAGGATAATTTTCTGACAATGTTTTTCCAGCACTCTTTCGAACTGAATAAACTGAACTGGAGGAGCACAGCAAAACCAGAGGGGAAAGAAATCATATTTGCATACTAGAGAACACAACAGTGGTTGTAGCCAGGATCTCGGTAACCTGTGAAGAGACGCTTAAACAGCTGAGCAGTTTCATGCAGCTTCACAGAGACACAAAATAGCATCATGTAACATATGTTGATTTCAAAGACAAGTGACAAGAGCGCAGTATCTCTGACTAACACATGAAACTGGGACACTTTCAGGCTCCGAGTTCCTTCCTCAAAACCGACCCCTTTTCCCAAATGCATCAGCTGGTCCAATTAAAAAAAAAAAAAAAGTATCAATGCTACATTTGCTATTTCACTTTCCTTGATTTCTTATCCCTTTCCCAGAAAACCTAACAAACAAAATACTGTTTTAAAATTAACTCCAGACCCCTTAGTCTTTACCAGCCTAAGCTAACTGGGAACCGGTTTCAGAGCACACGATGTTAAGTACAGTCTTGTAGGTGGTTTTAGCTCATTCCGTGGGACCACTCCTCTACTCAAATTAAAACCATGCCTTTAAACTTTCTGTCACTGATCTTCCCACCTAGGCCTTCCCTTTTTTAACAAAACAGGGAAAACCTCATTTTCACCTCTCAGCCCTGACTGAATGCATCAGAAAAGGCTCAAGTCATGCCTGTTCAGAAGGAAGTATTCAGTCCCTACCTAAGGGATTCAGCTGGCACACACAGCTTTCAAATGCTGCTCAGGAAACTAGGAATTTAATAAAAGCATTACCAAAAAGCTTAACTGTGCTTGTCAAAATGTACTATGTACGATGGGAAAAGAAGTTACCTTAAAATAAGTCCTTCAGCCTGTCTTTCTTAAGCACCACTGTGGAAGAACAGTACACGAACATGTCAGAACAATTCCACAGTAACTGCAACCTACTTTCAGTTGCTTAAATTGCTGCCAAACCCAGTGTCTCTGCCTTCTACAGTAACACATTTCTCAGGGGTTTTTTTTATTTTTTGCTTGAAACAGCTGTGTGGTTTTGTACCCAAGCTAGAGCCAGCTGTCAAGAATTACCGATACATGCAGATTCACGGTCTGCAGAGTAACTGTTTGTACAAATAAAAGAAATCTTAGAACTGTTCATCCACAAAACAACTACCGGGTCTGTTCACTCGTCTTGCATAACCTACCACGATAAAGGAGTATCTGCAGTTATTCTTAGCGACGTTTTATACTTGAGATACTGAAAAAAAGAAGTATTTACTGAACCGCCCTACTGGCAACCAACTACCAGAAACCAGGCACTTTGACTCTTTAGAGGAATGTTTGCACCGCATCACGTATTGGAAAGCCAGGTGTTTTATGTAGAACGGGAAAAGGAGAGCAGGTTTTAACACAGATTTATTACTGGAGGTCACAACACGACAGCGCACCCAGAGAGCTTTTAAGAAAAAGGGAACACCCCCTTCACCCCGCTACGTCTCTCCTCAAGCGCAGCAGACCCCCAAAACACAGGTCCTCTCCTAAGAGGTGCTACAGCTGTTAAGCGTGAGTGAAG